ACACATTACCCAAGTGACCTTACATGGGATTTAGAGCTGTGTGCTGAAGCTGGTTACAGCATCGAAGGCAACCTGGGACATCTAAATTAAAGGGTGATGTATGTATTGCCTCCCTGTATAGACTGTGTAGGGGAGAAGGAGGTTGTGGCACCTAAGTTAGACACCTGTGTCCACAGGTACGAGCGTTGCCCTCGCCTTTCCCCACTGCTTGTAGAGATGGAGAGCGGATACTTGGGACGTGCCGATGTCCATCCCCGCCTACGCTGAAGAATCGCAAAGCTTTGGCAAGGATTGAGCCTCTGCAAATTGTGACCATGACCCTGAGTGTTTATTATGTGCCAGAGAGCACGAGCCAGATAATAATTTCCACCCAGGGAAAGGACATGGTTTACAAAGAGCTCAGTTCTCAGACAATGTTGTTTGAAGTGTGAAAAGGGTTCCCTGAAGGGAACTGCTGATGTTTACAACATTAAATCAAACTCTTATCGAGTTCGTCCCTGCACTCTATTTATTTTGGAGCATCACTGATACAGTATGTGCGTGTGTATATATATACGCGTGCATGTGTGTATGTGTGTGTATGTATAGAAGAGTTATGATCCTTCGGCATTATCCATTACAGCTAACTTCATGTTTCCTGTCATCATTATCAAGGGTATTTCCAAGCACTGTTTGGCCAGCACAGCATTTGAGTTGGCTGCCTTCAGTATGAAGGTTCAGAAAATAATGGTAGAAGAAAGACTCTGCCTGCCATCGTGGGCAGGGAGGATGCGAGAGACATATGCTTGCAGTATGCTAACGAAGAACCGTCCAAAAGTAAATTTACTGGGTTTGTCTTTGTTGGAGGGTCCTCTCAAAGCTTAGAAGTGGTATGGCCGGATAAATTGCTGTGATAGCTTTGAACCCATATGGAGAGCTAAAATAAATTAGATACTATGAAACAATATTTGATCATTAGATTAGATTCCTCTCATGTGCAGGGCTAGATTTGTTATGGTTATTCATGAGAAATACCCTTCTTAGCTTCAGTGGAAGTATTTGTGACGGAGAGTTGTCAGATTGTGGCCCTTGGTGTCCAATTCTGTGTGTTGAGACACTTAATATATTTACAACTGGATGTAAGACCAGCTTCAACACGAAGTTCCCCAAACCATTGTTAGGATGTAGCTGCTTTCAGGTACTGCAAAAAGGGGACCCCGAGAGAAAAGCCAGGTTCCAATTAGGCTAATAAGTCCTTGCTCGGTTCTGGGTGATGCTCAGCATGGTAACAGGTCATGCATTATCTTCTCAGCATGGGAACTAAAGTTTGTGATTAAATGCATTCAGTATAGATGTGATGATGCTCATGATACCCACCTCAGGGTGGTTCAAACTCTAACAGTGGATTGTATAAAAGATATGACTTCTACCTGCTCACCTCCACCTCTCTTGCCTGTGTCCGTAAACCACCACATCTCCAGCAAAACACCAACAGCAAATGGATGTTAATATTTCTTTTGTTTTCCTAGAAGTAAAACTATACTATAAACACTATAATGCCATGAGTATTTTATAAAAGTTTGAAGATCCTCCAAGGCAAAATACAGTATAAAAGCAGAGTCCTCATGTTACAGCATTGCTCCGTTAACAGGATAGTTCTTCAGAGGCGGCTTGGAGAGTGATCCCACACCAGGCTTTGGCAGCCAGGGCTGCATTTTGGGCCACACTGTTCGGCATACCAGCACGTGTTTGAACGGATCCTGCTGCGCTAAATTAGCCCCAGCACTGCTGTTATTTTACTCTGATTAAAAACTAGCATCTGTAAGATGCTAATGCTGCTGAAGAGACCTTAGATGTAGGATGGTTCCCACCACTGTGGTGTTGGAAGGCTTCAAAGGGTGTCTGTCCATCCCTTTGTGAAGTATACAAGTACTATTCTGCCTATTTGGGAAACACCCAAATACCAAGACTTTTTCTCTATAAATACAGGAATTGCATGGTGAACATAGAATTAGTGGTGGCAGAAGACAGTTTGTGAACTATTGGAACCAGCAGTTTCTTATTGAAACCACCATCATTTCAGAAAATGATCCCTAAGCTCAAAAAAAATATATAGCCTGTATTTGAGCTACACACCCAATGAAAAGTTTCATATAGCAAAAATGCATTTATGAGTCCTTGTGGAGACTGGCAGGAAAGATCTTCTGGAAGAGCTGGCAAGGGTATCATACCCCAAGAACTTGTTCTGCCCATGTTTCCAAAGTAAAAATTTCACAAGTGGGAAACATGATCTGTGCTTGTTAACAAACTTGTTCATAAAGCAAAATGCTTCATTAGCTTTGGAGGAAAAATGTTCTTTGCAAATGTAAGTAAATTTTCTCTTTGCAGCTTGGTCTTTTTGATCAGTTACTGAACTGATACTTTGGCTTGTAGCTGTCCACATATTAAGTGTTTGGCTTAGTTTTCTTCTGCAGATCTGTAGTATGACAGTCAGTGCTCCCAACTAACTGGGGACACAGTGTTGAGGACACCTGCCTTCACCGAGGAGGTGTCCTTGGACAGAGCAGAGTGCTCATGACATTTTGGAGTGACTGTAGGGCCTGTCTGCACCAAAAGGCTGAGCAGGTGCAAGGAGAGCAGATGCAAATCTGCACACACTTGTGCACCTAAGCTAAGGAGCTGTGCAGGACAGGCAGTACAACTAGAGTCTTCTCAGGCTGCTGGGTCATCTCTTCATAGAAGTGACTTGGAGGCAGTCAGGGACACTCTGTGTCATGTAATGTCATTTGGGTCACGTAGGTGTGGCTGTGGCAAAGCTGTAGGAGCTACTTCACATGATGATTTCATGCTAGAGAAATGCAGAAAATGCGCTGTATGGTGGGTGCAAGGCCAGGTGGGCTCTGTGTCCATCTGGGAGTATATACTGCATGGGATCCATCAGGCTCTGTGATGGGCCTGGCAGTATTGCCCGTGAGGGACAGAGGATGGAACAGTGAACATAATGCTTAACCTAGATGCTACCTCGCCAAACTTTTAGCTGCCTGGCCCCAGTGGGAAATCCAGACCAACTTCCCTCCCTGTCAGTGGGAGAGGTGATCAGAAGGAATCCTCTTCAGAGGAAGATCTGAAGATCTTCCAGTTCTCAGTCAAACACCTCCCCTTCTCCATCAACAGCATAAGGACCCAAGCGAGGATGTCAGGTGCCATTGGGAGCCATGCTTTGCTCACGGTACCAGTTCTTCTGTCTACTTGAGATAGAGGTTATGTGGTCGTGGTGGTCAGCCAAGTGCCCTTCCCAGTTGGAGGTGGCTACCCTGAATGGGAACCCTGCTCCTTCCTGGCCACAATCCTGCTGGCTCCAGTACTCTTGAATAACTCAATATAGATCAGCTCAGTTGCAACAGGATGGGATTCGTGGCTCTCCACTTTTGGGAGATGGGGGTTTAGTCCCTCACCTTCCTCCCAAGAGTAAATAGTTCCTCTCATCTCTTTCACTTCTTGGGTGAGTATTACCAGCAGGAAGGAGGGGAGCAATTTGGAGGAGACTGGTCCCAGAGAGCACTTCTTAGATGTGCAGAGTGATCTGGGCAAAATGAATGTCTCTAATTCATGGGACACATAAATGGAAAGAGCAGGCTGGGGTATGTAAGCAGAGTTTCATCTTTTAAGAAACACAAAGCAATGCTGCCATTCTGCTGCCTTAGTTGGAAAACAGCGAACAGTTTGAGTACTGCCCTCTAAGAAAGATTTGGACTAGTTGGAGAAAGTCCAGAGAAGCTCACTAGATCAGAGGATTAGAAAATATGAGTTATGAAGAAACAGTGAAGGAATCAGTTTGTTTAGTCTAGAGAAGAGAAGACGGAGAGAAGACATGATAACAGTCTTCAAATATGTGAAAGGATGCTTCAAAGACAAAGGGAATAAACTATTTTCTATGTCTTCTGGGAGATAGTGGGGCACTGGAATAGGTTGCCTGAGGAGTCCCCATCTTTTGGAGATCTTTAAGGACTGATTAGCCAAATATCTGTCAAAATTATTTTGACAGAGCTGGGTTGGAGGGAAGGACTAGATTACCGCTGAGTCCCCCAGACCCTCTGATTATTTTATTGGAGGTCCCCAGGCTGGGAGGCTCTGGACCTGATGGATTCTTCAATTTCTTATGATTTTTTAATTGCTAATGGACATTGGATTTCTACAATGTGGCTAAAAAATTGATTTCTTAAAATATCACATACAACATAGGAGGCAATCTTTGCTTCCTGGTTTCACCTATGTTAGATAGCACTAATTACCCCAGCACATGGCCCAACATCAGTTCACTATGGTGCCTACTCTTCCAACAGACCTCATGCCTTGAGGGGTTAAATGAATCAATAAAATTCTCTTGAAATAATTGTGTTTCCTGGAGATTTGAATGTGTCTTTATCTGTTCAAGAAACTGCGCAAGATCAGTTAAGTTTTTATGTTGAGTGTTGTTCAGCTTAAGCTATTTGTGCAGCCTGTGCTGCTGTAGTGAGCGTCCATGTATCTGCTTTACTGTAAATCTACATCAATCATGATGAATGGCTATGTATGTTGCAGGGTGGGAGGAAAATCTCCAGTGCAAACAGAAATCAGACAGGTTGGAGTGGCTCTGGAAGCTGCTGCATGGTTGAGGCTAAAAGTAGTCTCAGCCTGTTGATGTTAAATCTTTAGATGTAAAGAAAAAAAAAGATAGACTGTTTTCATCTAGGGCTGTAATGGTGATAGAAAGCAGCCGTGCACCAACAAAATAAGATCATACCTCTTTGTAGCTGCCAGACCTCCAAGCCTTATCTACGCTTGCTTTTATTGCCCCAGATTTTCCACCACTGCTGCCAGCAGAGGCAGCGGTGGGAAGTTTGAGCCCTCATGCGAATGAAATCATCATCACTGCAGGAGCAATCACACCTTGGACCAGCCTTCTCTGTTGAGGAGAAGAAGAAAGAGTACTCAAGGAGAGTAAAAGATCTCTTAAAATTTGTCTTGTCTGTCTGTTTCAGGATCGCTGGTGATACAGCGCTCAACAAAAACATCCACGAGTCGGTCAGCGCTCAGATCCGGAAGAACTTTGCAAAAAGCAAATGGAGAGTAAGTGACCCTCCTCAGGGGCGACACTTGGACACATAGCTCTGCTAACGCAGCGGCCATACGGCCACCCTTTCAGCATGTTAGTGCTTTTGTGTCCCAAAATTTTGGTCAAAATAGTTGGTCCAGTCTTAGGTTACATGGTCTTGTGGGGCCTTTTAAGGAGGATACTACTAACCAAGAATATAAATGTAATGAGTGTGAGAGATGGGGCTGGGGCTGCTCATAGCTACAGCACCAGCGGTTATATGCAGAGTTGGGGTCAGCACTGTGCGGGGGACATGAAGCAATGCAGACACCCTGTGTGTTGGTACAGGGAAGGATGTGTCAAATATGACTTCCTTGTAGGCTGCCGCATCCCAGCTGAGTGCTAGAAGGAATGACGGGGAGCAGGAGCAGGGCAGACATTCATATGGTTTGATATTGCTGATTGTAGCTTAGAAACTAGAAGTTGGGAAAAGTTTGAAAGATGACGGGCTCATGCACTTCTGACAACTCTGAGCAGCCAGGAGAGGAGCAGAAGTAACCCTTCCACCTCCCGTTTTTTTATTCTTTCTTTCTTTCTTGTTTCCTTTGCTCCAGCAAGCGTTTAATGCCACAGCAGTCGTGCGACACATGAGACGGTTACACCTCGGCAGCAGCCTGGACAGTGCGAGCGCCAGCGTGTCGAGCACCCTCAGCCTCGCTGCGCCACTTCCCGACACAGGCACACGGAAAGATTGTGAGTAGCCAACATCCCGGGAAAAATCCCGCCGCGGCAGCTGAGCAAATTCGTGTGATCCCCATTTTCTCCTTGACGCCCAGGCTGCAGTCCTCACTGCCAGTAGGTTTGGCTTTGTGCAAGCAGGTGTTTAAAATAAGGACTGACAAGGGACCGAGGCCTTCATTTTTAGCTGGCCAAAAAAATAACGATTCCATTGGAAAAGTTTATGCACTAAAAAAAGTGAGGTTTTAGCTCGGTGCATTTTTGAGAGAAAAACACCATTTCTTGTGGAGAAAAAGGGCTTTCACTTGGGAAAAAGACCCAGACCCCCACAGCAGAAAAGTTTTGTATTTGGTTGAAAACTGAAAAAGTTTGCTCCAACTGTTTATGTTTGAGTTTCCAGTATTATGATAAGACATTTTTCTGTAAAAATTGGCTTACTTTCCATTTCCATTTTCCATGGAGGAGGCTGATCCTGCCAGTCTGACACAGCTTCCCTCTTCCTGGGCCAAATTAAGCTCCTGTACAAACAGGCTCATTTGTCTGAGCAGGACTCAGGTTCTGTACAACACAACAGGACTTGGCCCGCTGCCTTGTTAGTTATATGCTATAATTGAGATTTGCAAGCTGCCCGATGGAGTCAGATGCTTGGGATATATATTTTTTTCTGGGTGCCGGGGAAGGACACATGGCAGCGAAGGCATCATTTGGAAGACAGAAATGCGTCCTTTGCAATGAAACCTATTTAATTTCTGACTTCTGAGCATTTCTTTTATTTCTTTCTGTCCATCTGTAGAGATTTTTATATCATGAAATGGAGGGTTGTGGACTTTACAATTAGAGGAGATTATTTTAAGGTGCGGCACCAAAACGGAATGCTAATAGCTTACGGTATTGCAAGCCAGTGCTTACTTCACTGGGGACTGAAGTGGTCATTTCTAAACTATACCCCATACTATTCTGGAACAGAAAGCACCTACTATTCAGGATGGGTTTTGGATGGCGCTGCTATCTGCCTCTGCCACCCCTGCCTGCCAACCTCTGCTCCTTGACGAGGGCATGCCACCAGCCACGGTCCCCACGGCTCTGTATGGAAGCTGTGGTTTCTCTTGCTGTCATGAACACGGTTTCCCCCACGGCTGGGGTGGGATCTGCCTTCTGGGCGCTGCGTGAGATGTTTTTCCCAGCCTGTGCTGTGGCTGAGCCAGAGGAGAGCCCCTTCCCTCTGCATCCTGGGCCTGATGGGGATTCATGCCTAGTGCCCAGTTTGCAATGCCCAATGCCAAATCCTACAGCTGCTACTGAAAAAGCATCACTGTGCTCCTGGCACACATCTGGCACCTGCAAAGGAGCGATGCAGCGCTGCCTGGCCGCAAAGCATTTCCAACCATGCACTGGCAATGCAGTGATGTAGAAAACCCCTTACAGGGGAGAAAGACACCTTTATTTTGGTTCCTGCTGCAGTATGGCTAAGCTAGACCCCAGTTAGGTCTAGAGCATCTGATAACATGTTTTGCTGTTAAACTGGTGGGTGATTAATCTCAAATGGTGTTAATTAATAGCATTGAGTAGTCTGAATAGTAACGGAAAAACATCTGTGAACAAGAAGGGTGGGAAGAGAACAAAGTCTCTTTAACCGCTACAGAATCCAGCAGGTCCCTATACAGAATCCGACCATATTTTGCAGTGGTGGAGAAGTCAGCCAGGATACGAAGGATAAAACCAGATGTGTTAAGACAGGTCAAGCTTTTTCATGTCAGAAATATGAGGCAGAAAAGTATCGAAAGATTTCCAAGCATCCCAGGTTGTCTAGCTTGACAGACAATACAGAAGAGCTTCCCTTCCTCAAAGAAATCAATTAAAGAGTTAGGAGATGCTGGAGCCCCAGAGAACCAGTTGAGGAGAGCCAGCAGCAAATACAAGAAGCAACATTAAGAGGGAGCTGACATATCAAATGCACTCCACCAAATACCTCCTGTTGGGAAAAAGGAAACCTCTGAGGTCTCTGTCCTGCCTCTTTCTTTCTCAGCGGTTTTCTCTGGGGACAGATTTCTTGCACGAGAAAGATCCCATGCAGCAAGTTACATGAAACAGCTGTGTCACAATTACAAAATATAATACTGCCTAATGCTATTAATAGACATTTAATGAGCTCTCCAAATAGTTTCAAATGCAGCAATTTCACATCATTGAAGACAATTAAATACAGCCTTCGCCTCAGAGTAGGTTATGTCAGACTGCATCCTAATTCTGTTCTTTGTATTAGGGCAGAGCAGAGATGATGCATTAGGCTGGATTATGCTGTCTGTCAGGAAAGTCTAAGTGCACCACTTGGGATTTCTCAAGTATATTGGCCTGATTCTCGGTCCGTGCCTGGTTTATTCTGTTTAGACATGATTGGACTGCCTAGATTAATTACAGGACCTAGATCTCTGTATTTTTAAGGTAATAGATAAGTTGCAAGGTGAAGCCAACGTGTCAAATGTTGATACCGCTGGGAAACGGGATGTGGCCGAGGGTAGGTACAGCATAGTCATCCCTGAGGTTGAAATGCCACCTTGAAGCATGGAAAAGTAGTTAAAAGTCGTAACAGGCATCAAAAAGATCCTGAGTAGTCAAGGGGCCATATCAAACTCCAGTCCAAGAATATATTAATATAGGTTTCATCCATCCTTTATTCACCAGGCTGGAAAAATGAACTGTATTTCTAATCACTCTAAGCCTGCATCTTGTCAGAGCAAGGTGACCGTGCTGGGTCCCTGTTCGGCAGCTTTTCTCGCACCAGAGCTACCTTTGCACATCAGTGCCTACAAGGCTACCAAACTGCATGCGGAGCTGCACGTGCCGGCAAAATCTAAGGATCTCCCCAGTGGGGTCTCAGCAGCCACTGGGAGAGGGGTAGTTCATCCACGGAAAGCTCTGGCAAGGTTATATTTGATTTCTCTTCATTAATGCTTTCTGTAGAAACTGCTGGCGTTGTGCTGGAATAGCAAAATCTTGAATCTGTCATTCAAAACCCAGCCTACTTTGGGTTTTCAGGGGTTATGTTTTGGAGAGTTGTGTTTTTTAAAGCTGTGATGGAGGGTTCACTGGAAGTGGACACTTTCTAGAAACATTTTAATTTAGCTAAACCCCCCCATTTTTTTCATAAAAATTATCTGTCAGAAGTCTTTAATTAGTTCAAAAGGAACTGCCTGGGTAAATTTTGGGTCCAGATACACAACCTATGTCTCTTAGCTGGAAGTCCTGGAGACATACCAGCAAAACCTGGAGCAACATAAGCTGTCGCTAGAATGATGTTCAAGTCACACAAATTTACATTCCCTCTAGGTTTACTGGAACTCATCGATGAGTTTGACCCACTGTACTTTTTTGTCAGCAGCTTTGCAGGATGCCTGGGGAAATTTTTTTAGTCCAGGTGCACAGTCTGTTCATTTAGCTAGATGGCCATGATGAGAAGTTTAATCATCTTCAACATGCCCACAAGGAAAATTATTCTGAGCGAGTACAATGCTGGAGGGATTTTTGAATCCCAGAACTCTGTTTTCAGCCCCAGAAAAGTGGAATCGGTCTGGTTGAACACGTACCAAAGCTGCATATTTACTCATTGCGACATGCATATGCAACTGCCAGTGGTGGCAGCAGGCAAACAGCCATGGGCCAGGAGAGCAGAGGATGCCCCGTGGAGGTGCCCAGCCAACCCATCGCTGCAGGAAGAGCAGGAGCGCCTTCTCCAGCTGCGGTCCCCTCCACTCTGTAGCGTGCTACGAAAGAAACGCAGCTTTGCCCACATTCCCACCTCCAAAAATAACATTTCTAACTCTGTTTCTGGCTTTCCTTTTAGGTATGTCTCCATCCACTCTCTGTAGTTTTGTTTCATCTGCTTCTTCAGGCGTTTCTGCTGTAGGAGGGGACCGAAGACCCAGACCCACCACAGTGACCACAGTGCACACAGGGAGCAAGTGAGAGCCGGGGCGGCGTGGAGCGGGCAGGCGGCTGGGCTGGCAGGGTTTTTCTGCGCAATCCCACCCTGCAGTGCACACTCAGCGAAGGACTAGAAGAAAGAAGATTTTTTATGGCCATATTTTATACTGCAATTCTGAAATGTTTCATTTATCACAAACTGCAATGACTCCAGGGGGAATGAATCTAACAGTCTCTGGTGCTGTACATATATATACATATATATAAATATATATATATATGTGAGTCTAGCAATGTTCTAACTAATGAACACTCATTCTTTTCCCCAGTGAATTACTCTTTTCTCAGTGTAGGTAACAGTATATGTTGTATTTTTTTTCCATTAACTATGAACATCTCAACTGGATTATTTAAATAGAGATACTTTTCTGAGCATTATTTTTTTTTCTTTTAAAAATTACTTCCAGTAATGTCCCTCCTTCCAGTTTGCTGGGGGATAGGCTATTTCTGTAGGTAGGAATCGACGTTAACTTTGCAACACAGGAGGATTTCAATAGCATGCCATTTCTCGCTCCTCAAATTGGACTGCAAGTCTGCCTGGCTTTAGCAGAGCCGTTACTGCTCAGATTAAGAAACTGCTGCTTTCCCTCCCCTCCTCCTCCTTGAAAGCCATGGCAAGAGTTAAATTGCCACCAGCTGGGAGTCAGCTCACCCTTGGCCTTATTCCTGTAGTGCTGGGGATCTGCAGCACCCTTGTTTCAGAGGAGAGGCAGGTACACGGTGCTGGTCAGGAGCCAACCAGAGCTGAGCAAATGAAATGAAAGAGCACGGTCTCATCCTGCAGCTCTTATCTCCTTCGAGTCGCTGTGTGTTACAGGCAGAGTGAAAGGAAAGGAAGACGCAGGGCCGGGAGTCATAGTCCTCCTCTGGCACTGACTCGCTGTGCTGCCCTCGAGCAAGACATTTAATCCACCAGCCTGGTGAATTCACCTGGCCTCTGGCACGGGGCGCATCCAGCCCCAGGGGTCCGTGCCAAGATGCTGAGCACCTGCAGCTTCTCAGGGCTTTGCCTGGCGTTGCTGATGCTCAGCACCTCCCAGAGTGTCCAAAACCGAGTATTGGAAACAAGTAGAAAAGTTTGGGCCTTAATCTCTGCGTGCCTGGGTTTCACCCCCAGGGAGAGGGGTGATGTGTGCACCCCTCTGTGAAGCACTGGCAGGTTCTTGGGTGCAAAGTGCAGGATCTGGTGTAGTGTTGCTCCATCACGCTTAGCTCTGGCAGAGGGCTGGCGAGGAACACTGAGCTAGAAAGGTGGGGCCTCGCCAAAAAGCACAGGCACACGCAGGGGCAGTGGTAGCACTGCCTCCCTTCCCCTCCTCCCCAGAAGCTCATGTACAAAAGCAAACTCAATTTCCCCATTTCTTTAATTACTAAATACATGCCCTTCCCAAGTGCCGTGTGCTGGTGCATCATTTGGCACAACAGCCACCATGACTGTTGTGCAGCCGTGCATTAAAGCAGCTTGAACAGAGAGAAGAGCAAATCTGCCCAGATTTGCTGAAGGGCTCCAGGTCACTTCTACGCCATCCCCAGCTGTGATTTTCCTTCGAGAAGGAGAGAAGGGAGGCGGGCGGCAGAGGCAGGCACCCTTCCCTGGCCGCTGCGAGCCTCTCGCATCCCAAACAGGTCCATCCCCAGCCAGAGGCAGAAGCCATTCCCCACAGCGTGATCTATTGCCATGCTCGCCTCATTTATCCTGCACAAGAAATTGTGAAAGCCAGTCACAGACACAGCTGAATGTATCAGGCAATAGTGACCGTGCTGGGAAAAACCGTAAGATATGTATTTTTCATTGAGACTTCAAAATCCTGCTTCAGCTTCAGTCAGTTGGCTTCAACTGTCGGAGCCAGGATTTCATCCATCATACTTTGAGTGCTAAAAGCTGGAAAGCAGGTGGCAGTGAGCGCTGACTCTGTTTGAAATAGCCACTCCTTTGGTGGCACTTAAAGCTGGTGCACCCGATAAATCTCTAGTTTCCTCGATATTAAGCTGCCTCCCATTTTCGGAGGGCTGTGGCACATCTGAGTGAGGTCCTGGGACCCCCCAGTGCCCCCCATCGTGTTGCAGCTGGCATGGATGCTCATGCAGAAAGGCTTCAACTTCTCATTTTAGGAAAGATGCCAGATATTGGTCTCTTGGGGGTTGGTAGCAAAGCTCCATATAATTTCCCTGGTGAGGACTTGTGACCGAGATTTGGGCAGACCAAAGGGCAGGGAATCTCCTTGCTGCAAGTCATGCTTCTGTCCCCATCCCCTGGCCATTGCCAACATATATTCCCGCCCCATTGACAAAGTGTATGCCAAAGTTTATTGGCATTTACCCTCGGAACTCTTTATGTCTTGCTGCAGAGGTATCTGAAAATGAGTATAATACAATTTAAACTCATTCTAAGTCCACTTTATTTTGCCAGCCTGAGTAAGGAAGCTTTAGTTTAGGAGAGAATCCTATCCCAAGAAATTCAGGTTATTTTGAACCCCCATGATTTCATAAGCCCAGCTGGCCCTGTTCTGCTCCAGTTGCAGGGATGTAAATAGGCAGTCTACCGGTTTGGCACCAGTGGAGTTCCCCATGTTTACACATGTGCAACCAAAAGCAGGATTTGGTTAGAGAATATTTTTGTCTTTGTGGAGTGGTTTTAAAGGTTAGGGCTCAAGTGTTCCCTCTTTGCCTTCTCTTCTGAAACCTGAGGTCTGGTTTGAACTCAATGTAGTTGCTGAGGCCACTAATCAAAATACGGCATCCAAATGTATCTTGCAGAAAAAAAGAAAAGCAAATAGATTTCCATCTGCGAAACAAAGAGCAGTGATGGGAGCAAAAGCAGACATGCTGTCCTGCAGCTGGTGGGGGAGGTCCCATACGCTGGCTGCCCCTCCTTGCTGGATGCTTTCTGTGTTTTCTGTTGGGAGGGGTATTCTTTCCTTCCACACTTGGAATTAGGGTGATTTATTTTCCTTCCTGCAAGTAATATTCTGCCATAGTTGTGTAATTTATTGTCATTCTCTTTGGCTTGCTATCAACTGCTGGGATCTTAAGACAAGAAACAGAAGCACTTAAAAGCAAAATTGTTTCTTTCTGCTACACCTTTGGGTGGTGGGAAGCTCTTCTTTTGTATGAGTGAAACATAGCTGGAGACCTGACCGAGGTTCACCAAATGCTTAGAGATCTCTCCGGTCATTGAGTCCTGAAGTATCTCTCGGTTAAAACTTCTCAGTTTAAGTCTGGGTAAATCTGTTAACTAGGATGACTTACCGAGGCCAGGTTTATGGAGTGGGCTGGAGCCATTTGCCCCTCGGCAGCACAGCCTGGTACGGCAAACACTCTGGCATCGCTTGCTGGGGATGCTCCAGTGCTGTTGCGTGTCGTTCCCCTGCCCCAATCCACCTCTGCTCAGCCACTCTCACATGTGAATGCAAAGCCAGGAGTAAATAATGTGTGCATGTGGGGAAAGGGCTAATAGCCCCAAAGGAGAAGATTCAAAACAAATTCCCAACTGGCCTTGCCATGAAGGAGCAGGTAGAAAAATCCCTCTGGGCTCTTTCCCAATGGACCGTCCTACTAAACAACGTGTGATTTGCTCCTCATATGAGGACTTCAGGCTGGACTCACCTGTCTGTTACCCTTTTCTGCTTTACTTTACTGGCACTGATGTGTTTTTCCTTTGTAACTTGTTTTCCTCAGCTCCTTCCCCTTCTTTTTCTTTGCTTGCAGCTTTGATTGTTGATTTTTACCTCCAGAGTCACAGAGGCCATCTCTGATGCCAACAGCAGTGCTCTTGCTGGGAAAACAAAAACAAATCCAGAAAACCTCCAGCTGGCCCCTTAGCCTGCAGAAGAAGTTGTGAGGACAGGCTGCCTGTGAACTCTGCGAGCTGAAAGTCAGTATTGCAGTGGCAGGGGCTTCTGCCGCTGATTTTGCATGTGACTTCATCCCCAGTGCATCCTAACTTTCTGCTGGATCCCCCCTTCTGCAGCACAAAATGGCTATTGGTCCCACGGCATGGCTAGTGGGGAAGTAGGAGTGCGGGGAGAACCTGGCAGTGATGCTTTCCTGAGACTGTGTTACTCTGCTGGTGACGTGTCTTCTGTCCTGGTTGCTGTTGTACAGGTGCCATTATAGTAGTGGGTGCAGAAAAAAAAGTAGGATTTTACTTATGCCTTGTGTGTCTGTTATGGTTGTGGTGCTGAAATAAAACCAAGCAATGATAGAGGTTTGTTCCTGATATGAATCAAACCACAAAAAGGGGTGTCAGCCCACTGGTAGACATCTCCATGTAGTTCTGCAGTAGACATTAGATAGGGGGTTCTGCTGTGCATGTGTCCTGCATACCCCCATGGCTATTGACAGTATTTTTTCTATAACCAGTCTCCTTCTTCTGGGCCCCTGCCCGGCCCTGAGGGACTGAGGGACTTGTCCAAAGCTTTTCCCAGCCCCGGGAGCCCACACAGGCCCTGACCTCTGGCTTTTCTCCCCAAACCCACTGCAAACCAGAGCACAGACCTCCAGGGTGCCCCAGAAATGCAGCGGCAGCTGGCCCTGAGGCTGCCCCTTCCTTAAGTGTGACCCTATCTTTAGTGAAACAAGCGCCCAGGGAAAGCCAGATAGCTTTCAGCCATTGGTGAGCAGGGGGAATATTGTCCTTCGATGTGAACTTGGCGTTAACTAGATCAGATATAGGGAAACCTGTGCTATTACTTCCCCTGTGATAACAGCTCCAGCCCTGAGCAGTGCTGGGTGAGGACTACATAAAAACACCAGACTGACTTTGCCAACAAGTTCATGCGGACTGTAGCCTGTTGCTTTTGCTCTCTCCAAAGAGTCAGGGGATTTATCTACTGGCAAAATAACAGTTTCTAGACTGAGCCCCGAGGTACAGAAGTATCATCCTTTCAGCATGTGGAAATTCTCATTTAATGGGATTACGTGCATTCTTGCTCCTGTGCATATTTATCCGTCTGAATTGGGGCCTGAATGCATCCCAGAAATTATTCATGGGAAGGGAGTTTTGCCTTCGTTATCATGCTTATTTGCACCAGAAACTTGATGCTAAGAATTACACTCATTCAAGCAAAGAGCAGAAACACACACAGAGACTACAGCATCCAAAGAAAACAGCATCAAAACCAAACGTGGAGGATTAGTTGGCAAATTACTGTGAGCAATGGCTGAGTGAGGAAATGGCAACCTGCTCACAAACATTGCACGAACAGAGTTTCCCCTGGTAAATTAGTCATTCCAGATTTCTTGCCCAGCAGCAAGTTTACACAATCCCTTGCGTTTTTCCCTGCATCCCTGCAGCTGGGTCCTACCTTCCCATCCTGTCCGCCGGGGTGGTCCGGTCTCCGTGACACGTGTGTGTGTGCGCGTGTGTGCACGTGTGTGTGTGTTGCGGCCCCAGGGATCACAGATCCTACCGGTGGGAGATCAGGAGTTGGTTCAGGTTTTTTGGTCCGACTTTGCGTGGTTGGGTCAAAGCTGTGTAAATAGTGTTTGTAACAGAGGATAAAGGCTCTTTATCCCAAACTCTGGTTTTCAAGACCCCTTCCCCACCATGAACCGTGCCACTGATCTGTCCAGTTAGCTATTTTTTTCCTCCTCTTCATAAATGATAAGGTCAGAAGAGCGGCTCTTACATTTTTCCATGTTCCAGAGTGGAATCAGGGCATGTACGCTCGTAAGCATTGTGAAAAAACACTGCTGAACTAATGATGACATCAGATGTCAAATAAATGCATGATACTGCACTGCATGTATTAAACTGCTGTTCACTGTTTCTGTATTTCCCAAGCCTTTTCTTTATGCACATTCAACCCAACCTTTCTTCGAGGGGTTTACTTCTATGTTTTGCTTTTAAATGACTCAATGTATCTGTAACTCAAAATCCATCGTTAAGTTTGAGTAAATGCAAATGTAATGATGTTTTGTAAACAAGATACTGCAAAGCCTGGTAATGTATTTTGTCTTTCTGTTGAATGCTCTGCAGCATGTACAGGAAGAGTCACCGTCCAGAGCAGCTTAAAACTATGCAGCAGTCATGTACACACGCCTAGAAACAGGGAGTCAGGGAGGGGGGGTGTCCCTTTTTTAATACAATGCTTAAAAATTTGATCTGCATCAAAAAATCCTTCCCTGGATTGCTAACACTCAGGACTACCAAGACGCATGTTGGTGTGTCTGTTTTTTATTTTTTTCATTTGGATCGTTTTTCTTAGTCAAAACTTAGACTGGTTCACTCAATACTTAGTATTTTTCTCTTCCTGCAAGATATTTCTTTCTCACCTGTTGCAGAATGGACTGCATTTTGGGGACCAAGATGCTGCGATTATTTACCTGCACAAAACAGGGCAGAGAGCTGAGCTAATTATCCTATCCTTTCCAAAGCATCACCACCTAAATCCTAGCATGTAATCCTTGAACCGCCGTGTAGTACCACCATTTATCTGCAGAAGAGTTTGGTGTGGTACTTTTCCTTCTTCCACATGGAAATCATGCTCTTGCCTTCTCTTCCCTTAATCATTGACACATTTTCATTTGTGCTGGTCTTTCTAAGGCAGGGCAGGGTACAGGATGGCCACATGGTACTTTTAGTACCTCCAGCCCAATCCTCTTGTGGGCATCGACAGGGCAATGGTCCCAGTTCCTGAGCAGTTGCTGCATTAGCGTGGAAGATGCTCAAGTTCCCAATACTCCACACAGAGCCATCTGAAAGAGCTGGGAAATTGCTCTGGGCTCCTGGTAAGGGCATGCCAAGCAGCAGGGCTGGAGAGAAAGCACCATGCTGGTGGCATAGGGAACAAGTATCAGTCCTTGTCAATTATGCAAGGGACTGCTCCACGGTGGCTGAAAGCACCAAGTCTTGAGCCCACCTTCAAGGCTGGTGCTCAGCCAGGATGCTGTGCCATTGCTGAAGTGCTACATGGCAGCATAAAAAAATCATCATTAATAATGGTTGTAAATCAGCCTGAGTTCAGATTGCAGAGGCAGCACGTGGTGCAAGGCTCCATGAGGAAGTGGACGTGCGCTGTGGTTCCTGGTGGGTGGAAGTTCTTAGGGGGATGCTCAGGGTAGCTCCAAGCTTTTCCATCTCTCGTCTGCATCCCCTGAGCCCAGCATGGCATCACACATGCTATGTCTTACTAGCACAAGCTGTAGCATGACCCCCAAAGTGAAGAGCATGGAAGGTTGTAGCTCAGTGGGAGATACGGTGTGACTCATGTTTCTGGTCAACACAATGTCAACATCCTGTTGTACATTGGCCTCTAGTTGAGAAACAGCATTTTGGTCAGTTTGGGCCTTTTTTTAGGTAGATATTTTATTTGGGTCAGCAAACAATGAAAAGAAGCCCAGTCTGCCCAGTCTAGTGACTCCCTAAATATCCCCAACTGCAAAACATCTCTCGGTTGACTTTTAATGAAAATGCAAGCATGTTTTCTACAAAGGCTTAAATCTTAATCAAGGAATGTCAGTGTGCCTAATATTGCAGGTCTTGTGATTGATACAAGTTCATAACAGCATCCATGTCCAAACAGAAGGGAGAATGTGTATTTACTCCATGCATGTATTAAGGCATTGCAAAAGTTTTATCCGCATAATGAGTTTGCAATACTGCAAATTGTTGATGGGGCTACATCGCAAGTGGTTCTCTGCCTTGACAATCATGTATACATATCGAGATTTCTATCATAATGACAATTTAAAGGGATGACTAATTGTTTTCCTCCAATAAATCCAATTAAATCACCCTGATGTGAAGTCTGATGTTTTTTGAGTGCATGAGTCTCCACCCACGTGCAAGAAAGGGAGTGAATCATTTCTATGGCTGCTCCACTGCTCCGTTGTGTTTTATGCAACGATGTCCCTTTATGTCCCAAAAGAGGATAGTGAGATTTTTTTCCTCCCCAGTTCCCTCCATAGGGAAATGGATAGAAAGGATGATTTGTCCTTCAGGTGTTTCCTAAAGCTGCCATTGGAAGTGCTGCTGACTGGCAACATATGGAGACATGGCTGTCTCCTGGGGGTTGAGAATATCTGTGTGGGGCTGGGTAGAGGAGATGCAGTTGTTGGAGACTGCTGCCCCTTTGAGCTGGTCCTGGTGATTTACACAGCCTGTGGTGGGAATCCTGAAAGGAGATGTGATTGTTGCTAGTGTTTCTGAGTCCCTTTGCAGTCAGCAGTGGGCTCCAAAGACTGTTGTGTGAGCTCCATCATTGGCTTCCTTTTCCTCCAGACCATGTTCCCGCTTTGTGTTATGACTTGCTTTTTTTTTTTTATTCCCCCCTTATTCTTAATTTTCCCCACTTTTTTTTCTGCTTTTCTGGCTTTCACTCACTGGCACACAAGAATTTCTTCCCCTTTAAAAATAGCTGGCAAAATCACTATGACAAGCGTTGTTGGGCACCCAGCAGGAAGGTGGGCCCATGCTTGAAGTCAAAGCCAGGTGGTTTTAGACATCTGGTTCAATAACAGAGCTGAAATGAATGGCAGTGATAATGGCCAACTCATAGCAATATAAAGAGAAAGGCAAATTACTTAAATAGCTTTTATATTGTGAATGAAGAAACAACCACCAGAACCAATGTGATTACTATTTCAAAGCTGTGGTATGTAACTGTGGCCACAGAACTAGGATTAGATGCTGGACTGTACCAGGAGAGACAAGGTGACCTCCCATTTGTGCTCCCAGGCACATCCATGGGAAGTTACATCTTTGGAAAAGTTCATCCATGTACAAAAATGGTGGCAGGGAGTGGGATAGAGGTGGAGGGTGACACTGAGGCGTACACACATGACTTGCAGTGTCAGGAGGAGCAGCAGATCCTGTAGAAAGACTCCACAGTATTCCCATGTGTGACAAGCCTGAACTCTGACCATCCCTTCATATTCAGGACCACATTCCCACCTGTGTAAGTTAGCTCTCCTGGATTGGCTCAAATTCTGCAGAGTTATGGTAGTTGAAGGCCTATCCCACATTTCACCATGAAATGAAAATCTCAGCCAGAAAAACCTTCTTCTCATGTCTTGGTTTTAAAATCATGGGTTCCTCTGTAGGCTCAGTGGTCACCCAGTGTGCACTAAGATTTTCCTAGCTCCCAGTGAGACAGGGCAGAAGATCACCACAGGACCACTGAAATCTCCATGCTATAAGATGGGCTCTTGATGTCATGTCAGTATTTACTTGATCTTCGTGCGTTTTCTTCACTGTTACGGGCTCAGTAACAAATTCTTGGCTGTTTGAAACAAATGAGATAAAATGTCAGTACAGAGAAGCCAAAGGGACAAGACCGAGATGGGGCTATAGAAAATATTATGCTTGCAACCTTGCCAAGATCCACAGCCATGTTTGCACTGGAGGGAAGGGGACTGTCCTTATTTTGAAGGCTTTCTGAGTGTTGGTATGCACTGAGGGTCTGGCTTATGCTATACATCAGCCCTTCTTCATGTTATACCAAGTTCATTTCTCACTCCTTTGGTCTTCAGCACTGTCCCTCAGCAGAACCAGGGCTCCAATGGGCATCGTTAGGCTATGGGCAGCTCTTCTTTTGCAGTCAAGAGGAGTTTTGCATGAGTGATATCTGTTGAAGCAGAGTATGTGCAGGTGTCCAACTCTGAAGACCATCCAACCTGAAGCAGGGATGGATCCCCTGTGGTTCAGGGCCCCCACGGCCAGGTGATGCTGAGGAGGAGACATTCTGCAAAGGGCTTTCAGCCACAGCACTTGTTTCCTTGTAGTGTAGACAGTCCTACCCTTTCTCTGGTTATGCCTACACTGAATTTCATCCTTAAGGCCAAACCTACCTTTTAGCTTGTCTGTGCATCCACAAAACCATACTTTCAGGTATGGGCTTCTGAGGATCCCTTTGGGGACTCAGCAAAGAGAGAACATGGGCCTGCACTGCCCCAGAGCAAGCCCAGGACTCTGTAAGCTGCTGTAGGGGCAAGGGGACATGCTGTTCCGTCACATTACGCTTCCTCCCAGCTCTGGACAGCCCTCAGAGAGAAGGTCCACCTTCATCACTGTGGGTATGTGCCCTGCCCAGCACATCCGAGTCCTTGTTTTGGTGGGGCCTCTCAACAATGCTGAATTACTGTGATGATAACCATTTTTTATAACTGTGGGGGTGGGTAAGAAGGACCATCTGGATCAGCACTGCAAGTATTCAACTGAGTATTTCCAGATTGTTTGGCGTTTGGGCTTTCTGGATTACACTGGGATAAATTCCTGACTTCCAAACTCTGTTTACTTATCCTGAATTCAAAAGTTTCTTTTCTTTTTTCATCTTTGGGTTTTTTCTTTTTATAATTGCAATATTCTCATAAAGTTACAGTCAATTAATGGTTTGTTTACCTTCTTCATAAAAGTGTTTTGTTTAGGGAAATTAATAATAATAATAATAATAGAGCTGAGAGGCAATTTGTCATTCCCATCGAATTCATGAGCTTTGTGCTTTCTTTGGCGCCATATAGGCTCTTGTATGTTTTTCATTTTCTTTCTTTGTGGCAGAAGTAAGAGCTGCGTTCACATCCCTGCCTCAGCTTGCAGTCTAGCAGTGACCAGAAATGCATAATAAATCTCAAACAAATACTTCTTTTTGTTGGAGGCCAGCTGGGCAGGTACCCTCCATACTGAAGAGTCACGTATCACATTTATTGCAGAGCTGCTTCAAGTTTGCATTTGCTCGAAGTAGCATCTGAAATGTAACTTTCCCTCCCAGTCCCTGATCCACTGCAGCTCAAAGTAGCACCTAAGTGGATCACATCCCTGATCCACCACAGGGAAAAACTGTGCCACCAAAGTTATAATCATGGTGAGCCCATACTGACCTTCAATGGGAGCTGATGGATAAGCTCCTGTCTCAACAGATAGAACACAGGTACGTGATGGACACACACTGGAGTTGTTATATATGTAATACAATACAATGTAATGTATTTTTGTATTGTATTGTATTGCATTGCATTGCATTGTATTATCATAGAATCATAGAATCATTAAGGTTGGAAGAGACCTCTAAGATCATGGAGTCCAACCGTCAACCCAACACCACCATGCCCACTAAACCATGTCCCTAAGTGCCTCATCTACACGTCTTTTAAATACCTCCAGGGATGGTGACTCAACCACTTCCCTGCGCAGCCTGTCCCAATGTTTAACCACTCTTTCAGTAAAGAAATTTTTCCTCATGCCCAATCTAAACCTCCCCTGGTGCAACTTGAGGCCATTTCCTCTCGTCCTATCGCTTGTTACTTGGGAGAAGAGACCGACCCCCACCTTGCTACAGCCTCCTTTCAGGTAGTTGTAGAGAGCAATGAGGTCTCCCCTCAGCCTCCTTTTCTCCAGGCTAAACAACCCCAGTTCCCTCAGCC